TTATGCAAGGGAAATCGTATTTGAATTTTATCATTTTGCCATGGCATTGAAGTGCTCTAAGCCTTTAATCGCTGTCCGGCTAAAAAGTTGAGAAAAATTGTTGCAGGAAATTGCTGGAGCATAGTTTTCTTTATGCGTGACATTTGCAAAATACAGGGTGAATGTAAATGTAAATTCTGAATTTTATTAGATATTTGGAACACATATTTTAAAAATCCATAAATTATATTCTATAAAAGTATATTTTCTTCCTAAAGTAGCATTTGGTAATTTGTATAGAAAGTTACGTTTCCAGGTAGCTTGACTAAGCTCGACATTTTTTGTTTTTACACTGCTCCTCATATATAAGATATCTTTTCAGAATTGTACCATATGTACGAAATATATCTCTGCCATATAAACGATCAGTCGAACATTGAGCTCATGTGTGAAAAATAATTTATGGAGATATTTTTCACCAAATTTATTAGTTTTTCTATGCCGCTTCCATTTAAGCCAAATCTTATCAGCATTGGAAACCTAAGCTCTTGTATGCTTATCTTTTTTGTTTAGCAACATAGATGTCTTTAAAATAGGCTAAGTCAATATAAAAAAGGTTTCGGACTGAAAAAAATAGCTAAGATATATTCATATCTTGAATGAGCCAAAAGCTGTGCTCACTCGTACAAAGTTTGTGGTATTCAGATATTAAAACTATTTCGCGTTAATTCTCTCCTATAGATATTTGTCAAAGCTTTCCTCCAGAAACAACCAGGAGAGTGACCCTGTTTTTTATTTGCCATAAGAAACATTCAAAGTGACATTTGCATTTTATTGTTGAGCGCCGGGCATTACAACGCCAACTTTCCGCTCTTTGGCTTATTGTGCAATTTCCTAGCTGCTGCTGCTGCTTTCTTACATCCTCTTTTCATGCTCTTCCACTTTCTTGCCTGAGTGTGTCTGCATGAAATAAGAGTTAATTTTGCGTCCACTGGGAGTACACACCCACATATACACACACATGCGAAGCTGATTCGCCAGCATCTCTTTCGTCTCTGTAACAGATGTCCTTGATATTTCATTTGATGGCAGCATTGCTTGCGATATTTCAAAGGCAAATGCCGTCTGCCTTAGATTTGGCTGCAATTTTCTTTTGTGTGACATCAAAGTGCAGCTTCATCAAGTAAATCTTTTGCCCCAAAGCCGATAAGGCAGCGAAAGTGCCTGCTCATAAGCCAAATATGCCACAAAGTATGCAATAATATTGTAACAATCGAATTGTCAACGCGACAGCTCCCTTCTTTATGCTTTTAATAATATTTTAATAGAAACAGCAAGGAGCACATATTTCCTGGACTACTTTGCGGCCGGTGGTTGCTTTTGATGTCGTCCGTTCTCGAGCAGCTGGAGACATTTTGATGGATGGATAGAAGTACAAAAGCATAAGTAAAGTTGTTTTCATTGAAACCTACATATCATAAATCATGTGTGCTTGTTAGTAAGGCGTAGTCGGAAGGTAAACCAGCTGTGACAGAAACTTTGGTATGCTCTAGGCACAGTAATACAGGTTATTAAGATTGGGTATTTGGAGTTCGGTCTTTATTTTTTGCACTGCACGTATTATGTCTTTCTAGTAGCATAATTATTCATGACACTCGTGACAAGACACACAACTTGTTTCCGTTTCCATAGAAACTCTCATCGTCTGGTGTCGTGTGGCTTATTAAATGTTGCGGCTGTGCGTGTAGCGTATTTTCAGCTCCAGTGAAACAAAATAATTGGACCACGTTGCCCAGGTATCGAGCGGGGCTTATATACGCTATCATTGCTAAGGTCAAATGCACGTTGCCCCGTCTTTGGCTTGTTAGTCCGCAGTTGAAGCAATGCGTCTTACTCGACTTGGTCAAAAGCTATTGATTTTGGCTATTCAATACCTTAGGGAAAATACGCTTTTATTGCAAATATATCATACATATTTGGGGACATTTTTAATTAAAAGTTTCCATCAGATGACTCGGCCAAAAGATGCGACAAGATTTGGGCATAATAAGTTGCCTGGCCATGAGTCAGCCAGAATTTAAGCTGTTACCTTTTGTCAGTTTGTCAGTCTTTTACTTCATTTTTTACCTGTCTGCCTGCTGCTTTAATTCCCTTTTCCAAGGTAATTAACTCCCATCTGTCTGCTCCAAAAACGGCACCATTAACATTGACCTCTGGTGCGCGTCAACGCGTTGGCTGACAACTTTTGGTCAACATTTTTTTCCGATTTTTCAAAATAGCTGCTGGGCCAACAAAGGACTATTAGTTGGTCATTTAACAGCGTCCCTTTTTGGTTTAGTGCGCTGCCTTTAAACTTCGTTTGATTTTTGGGACCAGCCAAAGCATTAGACGGAAGATGCATACATTTTCAGCCATGCTTTACTTCTTTCAGAGAAAGGCATTGAAATGAATTTCCAAAGCGAATACTAAGCTTAAGTTTATTTTCTTTAAAAAAAAAAGAAGTTGCTTGAATTGGAGAGAGTATTTAAAATTGCATATGTATATTAATAATAATTATTTCATAAAATAACATCGAGCAAGCCCAAAAGCATTAATGAAAAAATTGCGTAAATTACGCTCAATTCTTAAATGTATCTAAAAGATTATTTAGATTCCCTAGCATTTATTCCCACCTCCTGTCCTCAGCACTTGCGCCTGCTTGCATGCAACAGAAAGTTGTTTGCCTATTTTCTGAAATTTGCATATTGTCTAGCAATGGGTAAAGTTTAAATTGGGAAATCTGTCGCGCTCGATTAACGTTCAGATGGAGGACACATATGAGACAAATGAGTCAGTGACTGCAAAACTTTCAATGGACAAGCGGGGCTTATTTGCATTTTTAATTAACTAACAAGTGCTTGCAATTATGGGCGGCCCAAGTCCAGAGGCGGCGCATTACCATATTCATAGTTGCATGTACGCCCTGGCAGCTGTGTGCCCGACGCCGGCTGCTTGCTGTAAATCAATTAGGCGTAAATGTGTTTTGGGCCAACTGTACTTGGCATAAATTACCAGCTTACCAAACTCTTGACTGGCCTACTCGACTTGTCTGTGTGTCATATTCGCATGTAGCTTGTTTCATATTTTAATTACTTTAATTGTTAAACATTAGCGCACATTTTTATCAAATTAAGACCCATCCGTCATGGGTAAACTGTCAGAAGTTCTACTGCAGTCAACATCTGCGTCATGCTTTGTGGCACATGTGTTGCCTTCCTGTCAGATTATGTCATGAATATGTTAAACGCTTGCCACTTTGACAGCCGCCGTTGGCGTGAAGCCAACTTGAATTCGCTTTTGACATTTATTAGGCGGCCTCAGGCGAAATTCTTCTTTAGCTTCGTGTCCTGCTGCCGCCGCGCTGCATTCCCCTCAATTGCAGCCAACACAATTTGACAAGTTAAGCGTAACTATGCCAAATAACGACTGACAGCGCAAATATTTTAACAACTTCAACTTGCCTTGCCAACTGACTAACTGGCTGGCTGACGTGGAGACTCTTGGCTTACCTGGCTGGCAGCTGACTTCAGTATATTCCTTTGTTGTCATTGGGTAAATTTTGCTTCGATGACATAAATCAAATGTGATAATATTTTATAGTACATATTCAAGAGTTGTTGGCCATATTTTTCTCGTTTGATTTTTGACTGCTCGTGCGCAGCTAATTTGGTAATCAATTACATTTTCACATATACACAGACATTGAATTTCAATAGGTCTGATGTGGTTACATTTTTTCTTAAACATTTTTATTTTTTTGCTTGATCGCACAACGAAAATTATATGACTTGTTATTGGGTATGGAGGCAACACACGTTACGGGGCGTATGTGCAATATTTACGAGTACCCTATAAAGTTTGAGCATCTCAGTTTATAACAATTGTAAAAAAAGAAACACATATTATAAGAGTCGACATTTATTTATGAAGATTATTTAATTCAGATTTCATCTAAATTAAATACAGACAAGATCTAGTATTTAAAATTATTCTTATTCTTATCATTATGATATGCACTATTTATTATTATTTGCATATAATTAATATACAAATAATTATTTTTTAAAGATTTGAAAGATTGTGCTAATTTAGCTTATAACTAAATTAACGTATATTTGTTTGCATTCTTGCCTTGCCCAACATCATCTGTCTTTACAGCGTATCTGTTGCAATCCTTACCAAACATTTGAATATTCACGTTTTTCTGTAGCTCGAAGTATCGTAAATATGCATCAAACAGTTCACTTACTTCCCATACTCACGGAAAAAACTCCTGCGTAGCATATAATAATGTCGTCGCCACATTCAAATGAAAAATGATTGCCTGCTGTGCCTTTTTGGGCGCACAATTCACAATTCATGTGGTGTATATATTTAAAGTGCGCGTGGTTGCATTCGCAGTATAAATAAAATTACGCATACGCCCCGTTGACATATAGAAAACTAAATAATGTGAAATTAAAGCGAAGCGTTGTCGCAAGTACCCCATGGACTAGCCCTCATGACTGCCTGACCTACCGCAACTGCCGCAGACAACAACAAAAACAGCCGCAAACAAACAAACTATGCTTAATTGCAAAGGGGTTCTGGGGCCCCGGCTCGGCTCTCAGAAAGTCAAGTAAATGTCTCAATAAACTGCAAAAGTTGGCCAGCCGCACCGCTTGGGAGCACGACTTAACCTCAATTTTGATTAACAATGTCTGGCAATGAAGCTGTCAACGTGCGGCTAGCAGGAACTCCCGGCACCGACACCGAAAGCAACCTCAACCTTAACCCCCTACCCGCCCCGGGCGACGGCAAGACAGTCGGCCAGGTCGTCCTGGGGCTGCCGTGTCTGTGAAGGCACACTGCGAGCCTGAAAAATGAGCACAATTTGTTTAGTTGGCTTGCCAGCTGCGGCTGCTGGCAGCCACTTGGGCAGACCGGGGGGGTCGAACTCGCACCAGTTAAGCGCAAATATATATTTTATTTGTGCACATTATTCATTTGCTAATAACATGTTTATGGGCAAACGTTTGGCGTTGCCACTTCTGAAATTGAGCTGTTGCCTTCTGTGGCGCCTGCTCCACCTTTAGGTGCATTATGTATTGCTCCAGCTGACTGGGCACATTCTGACGCAGATTCAATGTGGGCGTGGCAGCCACCGTGTCTATGCCACGCCTGGCGCGCAAACGCTGACGCAGCTCCCTCATGCCAAACGCGGGCACTTCGATGCACAGAAAATAGGCCAGCTCCATGCCGCTAATGAGCGAACAGCCCAAAAAAAGTCCAGCAATGCCACCGAAACTGACTAAAAGATAATGGATTAAACCAGAGACAAGGTCAATGTTAGAAAGTTAGGTGCAAATTAAATGAACTTAAAAATTTAATTGCAAACAATTATGTAGGAGTGTATAGTTAATTTAAAATATTTAAATATTAATAACCTTTCTTTAATAGTTATAGTAAAGAAAGGATTAACATTAAGTAAAATTATGAATGAATTTGGAAGCACGTTCTAGCCGTTCAGCCAAAGATTGAAATTGCAAGAGTGATATAAAGTGGATCATTGAACGAGTGACTTTCGAGTATGCTTGCATTGTGTCCTTTGTCATTTACTAACCCATTAAGTCGACCCAGCCAAATACCAAACTGGTGCGATAGACCATCATGGTCTCAAAACGGAAATGCACATCCAGATCCACATATGATGAATTACCAAGCACTTCCGGCGGCAGAAAGGATGGACGCACATCGTTGATGTAGTTGAGCGAGTAACAGTTGCGAAAGCATTTGCAGACCATGCCCTCATAATTGTTGCGCACAAAACGTTCCTCTCCCGGCTGATACGAATAGAGCAGTTTATCTGTGTGTGAGTGTGTGGCGCAAGCGTTTAGAAGTGGCCCTCGCCACAGAAATAGTCTGTCATGTTTGCTACGCACCATTGTTTTTCGCCAGGCAGTCCAAGTCCGGAGCGCGGCACGAGCGATACTGGCCTGCAAGTGGAGCAAAATTTCAAGTCGGTTTTGCGGTTAAGCCGTACGTGCTTACCCGGCGGAAAAAGCAGATCCATTGTACAATTACAGTAGCGCACCAAGTACTCCTGATGGCACTCCGATTGGCAATTCTCAATCATATAAATGTAGCCCAGCAATGACTTGAAGTCGCGGCTATTGCGTTCGTCCTGCAGGCAGATTGGATAGTGGAAATGAAAAACTTAAGTCTGAAATATTTTCAATTTCAAGTAACTTTTGAATGAGAATATTGGAAGTTAATCTTTAAATGTTTATATATATCAAGTAGAAATAATAGATTAAAACTTAAGGGAAATAATACTAAAAATTAAACTACATGCATTGAAAGAATTTTGTTGTCGATTGGCCGAGAGTGATCGACTAGCAGCTACCCTGAAAACGATACTGCAATCGTAAAACATAGAAAACTAACATCAAACACACATTCACGCTGATCGGAGCTCACGGAACGTGTATCATTATCGTAGAAGTAAATTGTGGGTTCAATCTCGAGGGTAGTTTGCGTATCGGCGGGTATGTGAAATGGATCCTTGTGCCAGACATACGGTTCTGTGACCATGACATCGATACCCTTTTCGTTGCGTCGACCCGGCCAGTGTTTATCCGGTTGCATGAGCACACGCACAAATAGGCCGCTCAAAGGACCAGCAGAGCCGGTGCGCCAGGGCCATAATGGATCCAGGAGCTGCATGCGTTTGCCCTCGACGGTTTCCAGAGAATTAAAGGCCCAGCACAAGCCGTTCTTGCTGCGTCTTTTCGAGAAAATCTCACAGCAATTCTGAGGGAATTGACGCCACTTGCAATCGGTCAACATTTCATCACAGGTCCAGGACATAAGGTCGACGACCAGACTGAAGTTAATATGGCTCAGCTGCTGTGTTGGCTCGTTACGCAGCTGCTCAAAGCTCTCAAAGTGGGCAAAGGACATGCTATCGTAGCTGCTGATAATACGCTCAAACAACTTTAGCTGCGCGGCATCGCTCACATTGGCCATGAAACGGGATTTAGCCAGATCCAAACGCTGCCAGTTGAGGCGATTGTGATTGCATATGGTGATGACCGGAAATGCAATGCGGTAAACCGGAAAACGCGTGCTATCGACCACAGTCTGAAATTTGCCATCGTTGTAGCGCTGGGACAGTATAAGGCACACATAGACAGCTCCCAAAAACGCACAGACAAACGTGCACAGCCAGATGAAGCGCTCCCAGCTACTGGAATGTGCGGCAAGCAGCTTGTCCAGACCATGGATCGTTGTCCGCTTGCCAAAGCGCATGGCCAGCTGCCAGGCAGCCTGACCCAGTTGACGGAGCGATGCATAGCGGCGTGGTAATGTCCGCGATTGATGCAAGTGCAGGGAACGCGTCGGTGGATAATATGCAAGCGTCATGGCTGGCGAGCAACTGAATCAGTTGCAAACCCATTTTGGTGCTTTTATAGCGCAACTGCGTGCAGGAATGTTTTGGCTAATTAGATACTTAGCAATAGCCGGGACACTAACGTGTTTAACGCCTATTAAACTCGTTGTCGACAACTTGCCGCATAGGTCAAGTCGTCAGACACAATCGATGACAAAGCGTTTGCCACCCGCCCAGGGGACTTGAGTTGTACCCTATATCCGTCCATATATATGTCAAGCTAATTGGACAAACTGTTTGTCAAGCCAATTGAATACAATCAATGTAAAATGATTTGCAAACAGCGATAAGCGGGAAATTTATTAATATCAGCAAGTCGCATTTATGCATGCTCTTCTAGAAAACCATTAAACGAGTTTTCCCGATAAGCTTACTCTCTACTATAACTGAGGTGGAGACTAACAAACATTAGTTTTATGGTGTAAAAGTATAAAGTGTTAAACGTATCAACCTTTTTTGTCTGACCATATATCCAAAATCGTTCCCTGTTGCAAATTTGAACTTTGACTACACGTCAAGCTGACAATCCAAACGCCATTACCTTGATAATAGACCCTTACTTACGAGGGCATACTGTTCCGAATTCCGAGCGGCACGATATAAAAGGCGTGACCTACTCATTTGGCGAACACAAAATGCATATCCGGCAACTGAGAAAAGTGAAACGGCATCGACAGCTGACCGGAGTATGGCAGCAGTACCAGAAGTCAAACTATGAGACCGCCTGGATGCACTTGCTCAGCCGCTACACCAGTGGTTCGCATATCCATGGATTCTATCAGCTGTTTTGGCCAACGATGCGACGCCGCATGCGGTGAGCGAAATGAGATAGCTCTATTATTGATCCAATCTACTGATCTGTTCCGATAACATTAACAGTTTACTGTGGACACTGGCGCTACTGTGTGCCTTAATAGTGCTCATCTTGATCACTTATCTGCTGGCAGAGCGACACCAGCGAAAGCATTTCCAAACAGTTGTCGCGGACTCGCGTTGGCCCATTCGGAATATTGCATTTCCGGTCATCTTCGTTTGCAACAAGAACCGCTTGAACTGGTCACGTCTGCCTGAGATAGGCGAGCGCTACAACATCAGCGAGGCCCAACAGCCTCTGCTGGAGCGTGTGCTCAACGCCTATGATGCACTCAGCATTTCACATTTGGATGTCTTTGAGGCGCTGCAAGGCCAGCCTTTGGAAACGCTCAATCATCTAAACTTTACTCAGATTGTAAGCGAGATGGCCTGGCGCTGCGAGGAGCTGATCAGCGAATGCCGCTGGCAGACGCAGTCTCGTAATTGCTGTGAACTCTTTCGACAACGACGTCAACAGCAGGGCGTTTGTCTCGCCTTCAACGAGTTGGAGCAACGTTCTAGTGCAGAGACGGACAGGGGTACGGGTATTGTTGTCCGCCTACTGCTAAATGAGGCCCTACATGCGCCTGGTAATCGGGAGCCCAAGGGTTTTGTGGTGCGTATAAGTCCGTAGTTGCCTTTCTGATAGTGTGTGTATCTGTGGATCCTTCAATCGAATAGCTGGACGTTGTGGAACCAGGTGTTTGGTCTGGACTGCCAATAAGCTTGGTGCCTGATGCGGACACTAACGTTGGTATCAGGGCTGTCTACCATTTCTACGATGAGGCCACCTATGGTCTGCCGAGCGTGCAGCGTCAGTGCCTGCTTGACTACGAGCAGAAGAGCGATCACTTCCAGACCCTACTGGGCTTCAAGTATATGTTGGAGAACTGCTTGGCTGAATGTCAGCAGCTTTATATGCTGCGCTATTGCAACTGCACATTAGATATATTCTTTCCGCCCTCCAATCATGTCGTCTGCAGGTTGAAGGATCTGCCCTGCCTGGCGGCCCACAATCATCTGCTAAAGAATTTCGAACATCCTGAGGAGCATTCATATGTGGCCCAGAATGTATCGGGACTCATTTGCGATTGCCTGCACAACTGCAAGTCGCTGACGCTCTTAACCGATGTGCATAAAACTGCACGACATAGGCATGTGAAAAATGCCCGTGCAAAGGATTCTGCGCACGGAAGTAACCGTTCAATCTTGCTCAATGTCTACTACGAAAAAAATGTTATTCTGGTCTATAGGACAAGCCTTATATATAGCTGGCTGGACTTGATCGGTATGTGAACTTTATTATCAAATTTACCTCATGGGAAAAGTTTTCAATATTTTTGTTTGAAAATTTCTAAGATTTTCAAGAGGCGAAAATAATAGCATAATTTGTATACTTCCTCTGAATATCTAGTTAGGTTAGATTACCTAAGGTTAAGACGTGGGGCTTTTTGGGATTGTAAGCATAGCAGACATAGTTTTTAGGACGTTTTAACTTTGATATACATTTTAAAATTTTAAGATCTCACCGTTCTTACCATAATACGGTGATATTATTTCACGCTCAAGATATTATCTCTGAAGTAACATTCGAGACTCCCTCAAGATGAGATATATCTAAGAAACGTGTCAGACACAGAAGATTGTGTAATTTGTAAGGAATCAATTTCAAGTCGTATCTTTTAAAATTCTTTTGATTTTGCTTTCAGTTTCCTTCGGCGCTATTTGTCAGCTTTGTCTAGGCTGCTCAATAATTAGTCTCCTTGAGCTTTGCTATTTTGGTCTGTTCGATCTACCTCGCTTTTGCTGGTCGCGCTATTCGTTGAGGCGACTTTATAAGGATATTCAATAAAAAATGCCATTTGGCTCTCTTATATATGCAATGCATTTTATTTTTGTTTATTGCATGCCGTTTATGGTCTGGTGCATACTGTAGAGCTCTGGACTTGGCTTGACATATGCAAAGCATTTGCTGGCAATGTCTTTTGTTCTTTCACTCTATTCTCTGGGGCAGATTTTGTATTTGCTGTAAGTCCTTATATATTTTAAATGAGGGTTCGAGAATAGTAACTCAAAGCTTTGTAAAAGCTCTTCTAAGAGTATGTATGCTGCAAGCTTAAAGCACATTCAAGCAGTGCAAAGTGAAAGCAGTGCAAGGACGAGCTGAATGAGTCGAAGCTTTATGGAATGAAACATCGAAATAATAACATAGAACTTGGTAAAACGTTAGAACATAGAACATGGTACAACGTAGAACATAGAACATGGTAAAACGTGAAACATAGAACATGAAAAAATATAGAAAATGGAGAATATAAAACATAGAACATATGCCATGTAACATGCAATATAGAACATAGGACATACATAGCACATGGAATATAAAACATTGAAAAACATTGCACGTTGCTTACCTTCGATTATAGGAAAACATGGAAAATAAATTTATTTAAAGCAGTTCAATTCCAATGTTTAGTTCCCCCACTCACCGCTTGATGGCAAAAGTGAGCAAAGCACCTTATTTTCGCAAACTGTTAGCGTGCATCTGTAGCCATTCTACTCTGTTAAGCATAGCCATGGTCAAATTATCACCAAAGCATACCCCAGCTTCTTAGCTCCTATGATTGACGCTGAGAGTTTATCACCAATCGTTCAGTCAGTCAGCACAAAACGTTCCGTTTGTAATCTTTTCCAGGGGTCCTAAATTATTCTTCTCTTAACAACTGTAAAAATCATACCAGCTTTATTAATAGTTATCAATGTTTATTATTGGCTGACGTTTTAAACAAACGATTAATCAGTAATGAAAACTTTTCAGTTTTTTTGCCATATCTAATCAATAATTAGCCAAAAAGTTAACCCCAAGTTTTCAAAAGATTTATAACATTTGTGTTTATCAGCAAGTGATTCCCTTTCATACGGATCAACAGCATATATAAGTCCCAACCTCAGCTACAATCTTCACAACAGTCTTTGATCGGTTACCGGACAGTTAAAACAATGTATTCTCCTACGAAACTTATTGCTTGTGCGCTGACTTTTGCCCAGCTTTTGGGCTCAATTAGTTGTGGAGTATACGACAATACGGATAACTGGGTCCTTTCTGACAAGACCGCCAATTTCCCCGAAAACGCTGTACTGGGCGGTATTGATCCCTACGGATATGATAACTACGTGGGACGCATCGTTTATGCAAGCTCGATTCTGCCAGCCCGTGTTAGAGCCGAGACTGGATACACCACTTTCAATACCGAAGCAGTAGCTAATCAGGCGACCTCCTACGAGTTGCTGGTCGCCAATGAGACCGTCAGCTATCAATGGGTGCGCAGCTACGATGGCTTCAGGGAAAAGAATGCTGTTTCTGTGGGCACAAGCGCCTTGAACGAACGCGTTTACGTGTGCCGCGCCAGAACTGATGGCGGTATTTTTATTGGTACCCTGTATCTTGCGCAAAAGGCCTGCATCATCCGGTACGAGAACTTGCCTCTGAGAGAGATTACTAAATATGAGGTACTAGTGCGAAAAGTTGCCCTGGCAGCGTTGGCGCCATTCGACAATCAAATCAATTGATAAGGTTGCGAAATTTTAATAATAATTAAATATTCAAATACGAGCATAAATTAGAAAATTGTAATAATCAAAATATTGGGGAAGAGAGAGAATTGGAATTGAAGCTTATTATACCCTTGTAAAGAATATTATAACTTAGTCATACTTCAAACATTTCTCTCTCCTACCCCACAAAGACACATAGTCTATACGATTCGTTCATAGATTCCTCTTCTATTTGCAACTGTGTTCGGGGAAAAATTAAGTTTTGGTATAATATTTTTTCACAAAAGAACCTTTAAGCCATATTTCTACATGAATGTTTAATCACTTAGCTTTTTTTCTAGTTACTGGTTACTTTCAAATATGGCAACAATTCAGAGTATTGTAAAATTTGCTAGATTTCGTTATATATATATATATATATATATATATATATATATATATACATACCAAAGGCATTAAGTTAATGCACTGAACTGTGCAGTAGATTAGCAAAGCCTGCCCAAATATAGATATCCTTACTGTCTTTCAAGTTGTTTTTTAACGGTTTATTGACTGGCCGCGGGCT